GTGGGGGGGGTGGCTGGGAGCGGCGATGGTCCCTCTCCTCGGGGCGCTGCAGGCCGGAGAGAACAAAGGGGCTTGGCATCCACGGTCGCCGGGAAGGGCTCCTCTCTCCTCCCCTTTGTTTGTGCCCCCCCTCGAAGGATCAGCTGGAACAAGCCGGGCTGGTCCTCTCCCTGGCGGGCGCGCCGCCGGGAAGTCTAGCGTTCCGGGCGGTGCCCCTCCCCGTCTTTCCCTCTGCTTCCCTGCCCTTTAGCGCGCCTCCTGGGGGAACGAGGGGGTGGGGGGCATCCTCTCCATCCACGGGGCTCCGGGCACCCTCCGAGCAAGCCCACTCTTCAGAGGTGCCCGCGGGCAAGGCAAGCGTTTGTCACCGGCTGCCTTTTGCACCCGAAGGAAGGAAGGAAGGAAGGAAGGAAGGAAGGAAGGAAGGAAGGAAGATGCCCCGAGGCCGTCTCTGGGCTGGCTCGTCCTGCCGGGCTCTGATCCCACTGTTGGGCCATCCAGTGCCAAGATACACAGGCCAGCCCGGATGCTCCACACCTTCCGTTCCCAGCCTCCAGCTGCACATCTGGACTCCTTGATCCTTTGGAATCATCCTCCTTCACCTTCCATTTTATTCCACATTCCTTTGGTCTTTCCCTTTATTCAGTGCTCCTTCCGCCTTTATCCCCTTCACCCTCCCTGATGTTCTCTCCTCTTTTGTCCTTTTTTTCATCATCATCATCATCATTGTCTTAGAACTGCAGAACATGGAAGGGACCCTAAGGATCACTGAGTCCAGACACTGCGCCTTCTCTCTCTGACCCAATGAAACATATGCGCCCACGGATTTGAAGTTCCCAGTAAAAGCCAGGGCGGTGTAACAGAAATGAAGGTATTTTTCTGTCCCCGAAACCAAAACACAGGGAAACCCCATGGGACACCTTCAAGACCATCAGGTTTTCTTGGTAGAAGCTTTGGTGGGGTGCAGCCCCTACTTCAGATACATGGGTGTGCAGCTGTTGCTGGCAGATGATTATGCCCATGTATCTTTGTGGGGGGAAATGATTGGATGAGAGCGAACTGAAGAGGAATAAAGCCGCATCGACAATCATTATCTTTACAGAAAGAAACAAGTTGGCTGACACAGACTTTCTGGCATTGTCGAGCAGATTAACACATCTTGTGTGATTTTAAAAAGCTTTTGTCTCTGTTTTAATTGCAGGAGATAGAGGAATAATGGAGAGAGTGGTGGTATAGAGTAGCAATTTGCTAGCCGGGCAGTACATAAACCAAATGAATGAATAAATAAATAAATACAGATGGAGAAATCTATTTGGTGCAGTCTCCAAGCCCTTTTCACATATCATCCAGTCAACAATGGTCACAGAGAGTTGCCATGACTTGTTGTTTAGTTGTGTTAGACTCTTCGTGACCCCATGGACCAGAGCATGCCAGGCTCTCCTGCCTTCCACTGCCTCCCGGAGTTGGGTCTAATTCATGTTGGTCGCTTCGATGACACTGTCCAGCCATCTCGTCCCCTGTCGTCCCCTTTCTCCTCTTGCCTTCACACTTTCCCAACATCAGGGTCTTTTCCAGGGAGAGTTCTCTCCTCATGAGAGGGCCAAAGTATTGGAGCCTCAGCTTCAGGATCTGTCCTTCCAGTGAGCACTCGGGGCTGATTTCCTTCAGAATGGACAGACTTGTTCTCCTTGTAGTCCAGGGGACTCTCAAGAGCCTCCTCCAGCACCACAATTCGAAAGCATCAATTCTTCAGGGGTCAGCCTTGCCACGACTAGTCCCCCTCTATTCAGCATTGGTTAGGTTTCCCCTAAAGTACTGTGTCCAGTTGTGAACACCACACTTGAAGAAGGATGCAGATGAATTGGAGCAAGTTTAGAGGAGGGCAACAAGGAGGATCAAGGGAGGGGGAACCAGACTGAAAGAACTAGGCATGTTTCCCTTGAGAACAAGGAGATTGAGGAGAGAGAGGAGAGCACTCTTCAAAGATCTGAAAGATTGTCATCCAGAGGAGAGGCAGGATCTGTTCTCGACCATCCCAGAGTGCAAGACACAGATGTCATCATGGGCTCAAGCTACAGGAAGCCAGGTTTCTGCTGGAAAAAAAAAACTCTTAACTGTTAGAGCAGTACGACAATGGAATCCATGGGGGGTTGCATTCAATGGCCCTAGAAGCCCCTTCAAACTCAAAGATTCAATGGTTCACATTTGGAACCCTGCCTCTTTTTGTGCATTTTTTTATCAGACTTAAGTGCCCTGTTATCTGTGAATGCTGATGCCAAATCAAATACATTGGTCTCGCTATAAGACTCATTTTTTGGGGGAGTGGGGGGATTACCTAGCTAGAGAATATCAGGACTGTCCTTCTTGAGTCCTGGAAGCAAATTCTACTGAAACTCGTGGGGCCTAATTTTGGTGGATGAACACACAGCTATGCAGCTCCTTTCGTTTAGGGAGAAACAATGGGGGGTTTTATTTCTCCTCATAGACCCCCTTCTGGCCATGGTGCAGAAGCCAGCGGGTGGTTATATTACGACCAGCAAACATCAGCAACGAAAAATGAAAAGACGAGAGCTGGAGGAGGGGGAAAGAAAGCCAGACAACAGCGCGCTGATTCTGAAATAGTCTCTGAAAGACCATATAAGAAAAATGTTGGTTTTCATTCACTGTCTCAGTCTCTCTCTCTCTCTGTCTCTCTCAACCTGTAGCAAGCTTGATTGGTTCAAAATTGGGAAAGGAGTATGATAAGGCTGTATATTGTCCCCCGGCTTATTTAACTTATATGCAGAATACATCATCCGTTCTAAAGGAAATCAACCCTGAGTGCTCATTGGAAGGACAGATCCTGAAGCTGAGGCTCCAGTACTTTGGCCATCTCACGAGAAGAGAAGACTCCCTGGAAAAGATCCTGATGTTGGGAACGTGTGAGAGCAAGAGGAGAAGGGGACGACAGAGGACGAGATGGTTGGACAATGTCATTGAAGCGACCAACATGAATTTGACCCAACTCAGGGAGGCAGTGGAAGACAGGAGGGTCTGGCGTGCTCTGGTCCATGGGGTCACGAAGAGTTGGACACGATTTAATGAGTAAAAACAACAAAAACAAGCTTGAATGGCCACAATGCTCCTCTGTCAATTCTAGCAAGCCACAAACCTAAGAATGCCATGCACACCTTGGGGGGTTCCATACAGGGGCTCAGCCTTCCCTCATGACATCGGACATCATGCGCCAAGGGTGCTGAGCTGTATTTTTTTTTTTTTTACACAGGAGAAACAGGCCAGGTTTGGTGCAGAAGAATACAGAGACACAGATCTGATGATAGAAGTGCCAGTATTAAAAACAACAACAACAACAACAACGGTGGGAGAGATATTTCAGGCTTCTTGGCTACTCTTCTGCCAACGTCCAAGTGGCCACTCTTGCGCAAGTCAACTTCAGGAACCGGTTCCGTAAAGGTGGCAATTCTTGAACAAAACTCCAAGGGCAAATTTCATCATGCAGCGACTGAAAAAGAACTCATCAAAGCATTTCAGTTCTCTCCTACGATTAGAATAAAGATAAAGTTTCTTTTTTAATCACACTGCATGTGTTAATCAGCTCAAGAATGCAAGAATGTTGGTTTTTGCAGCCAACTTGTTTCTTCATGGCCCTGTTAAGATAATGATCGCCCATGATGCATCTTGTGCTTCAGTTCCCTCTGATCCAATCATCTCCCTCCACAGACATGTACATAATAATCTCTCAGCGCAAGCAAAGGCCCCCGCATCTGATGAAGTGGGCTGCGGTTCACAAAAGCTGGAGCCAAACTATTCTGGTTTCTATTTAAAGCTGTCACAGGCCTTTCTGGAGTAATTTATCAGTCTTCAACTGACTGGGGGAACACAGTGCCCATCTGCGTTGAGAAAATCCCAAGATGGAAGCCTAGAAATGTTACAAGTTGGACTACAGTTCCCAGTATCCCCCATTAAATATGTCCCCTGGACTAGAATCTCCTTGATCAGTGTGGTTCCCAGCCTGGAGTCCCCTGATGTTCCTGGACTACAACTCC